AAAACACACCAGGGGGACCACACCTGCAGCGTCCTCAGCACAGCAAGCTCAGCACACGGCAGGACTTCCCCAAATCGGGGGTTTGGACTTCCTTGGTGGCGCAGTGCTTAAGAATCCGCCTGCCAGTGCAGGGCACACGGGTTTGATCCCTGGTCCAGGAGGATCCTACATGCCACGGAGCAGCTAAGCCCATGTGCCACAACTACTGGGCCTGCACTCTAGCGCCCACAAGTCATAACTACTGAGCCCATGCACCACAACTACCGAAGCCCACACACCCTAGAGACCGCCCGCTGCAACTACTGAGCCCACGTGCTGCAACTACTAAAGCCCACACGCATAAAGTCCGTGCTCCACAATGAGAGAAGCCACCGCAATGAGAAGCCCACGCACCGCAACAAAGAGTAGCCCCGCTCGCCACAACTAGAGAAAGCCCGCACGCAGCAACAAAAACCCACTGCAGCCAAAAAAAGAAAACCCACAAACAAACAAAATTGGGGGCCTCTCTCGAGCTGCACTGGCCGCTGAGGCCCGCTGTGCAGCATACCTGACAACTCCCATGTCCAGACTTCTCTGGGGACAGGGACACGGTCAGTCGTTTCAAAGTGGAATGTTACCGTATTTTCCCCAGTCTGCTCCAGGAACAGCCTCCCTTCCACCCTGTTACAGAAGTAGCTGGAGAAGAGGTTCCCAGACACTTGGCCACCCCAGGACTTGCATCCTCTGCTAGTCCATGAGCAACAAAACCAACACAGGCACAGCACTGTTGTTCCTGACCCAGGGGCAGTGCGTTGCTTATATTATTCTTCTAGGCCTTTGCAGTATTTCACAATAAAAATGCATGAAAGTAATCCACGCACTTTGTTAAAAGAACATTCAAACACTGAAAGGATAAAGTGACAAGTCACGTCTACCCACCCAACCCTGGTCTTACTCCCAAGAGCCCACTCTACTAACAGCTTTTTCTTCGCCCCTTTTGGAAAAAGTCTTTGCATACACAAAAGCATATGCACGTATTTTTTAAACACATACGCAGGGCATGCTGTCCTGCATCTCTCTTTTCCCCCATTTCATACCTCAGAGATCTTTCCTAACGAACAAATACAGACCGATTCAGACATGAATTTACTCCTAGTTCATGGTGAGAAACCCTCCTCTTGTCTTTACTGAGTGCTCGGGTGAGCGGCCCATATGGAACAGCAGATCACACTATTCGTACATGTATGTGACCACCAGAGTCTTGTGGCTCTTTTACCAATCCACCTGGTTTGGTGTATTTGTTTTTCCCAACAGCCTCCAATCAGCCTCAGGGCTCCCTAAGGTCTTCAACAGTGAAGCAGACCTACTGGGAACACCCATTATCCATATCCCGCCAGGTTTCCAGGTTCCAGGTCCCAGCAAACACTCCACATGTCTTTCTGAGGCTCCAGGAAGCATCTGTCTCACTTAGCCGGGCAGCAGACATACTGCCTGCCTCCATACCCAGTGCAGAAGGCAGCGTGGGGCTGGCAAGAGTCACCCCTAGAGCTCTGAAGAAGTCTGAACTCTTTGTAAACAAGAGGAAGCTGCCACATCATTTTGCATTGCATTGAAGGGTGTGGGGAGGGCTTAGAGCTGCCTACAGGTAAGGCCTCTGTGAGTTCTATGATTGATAAGTAACTATGTTACCATCAGAGAATAATAATGAGTGCCCCAAGAGCCCAGAGCTGTACTGGGCCCCTCTCATTAAAGATGGACACTGGCAATTGAAAGGCTCCTATTCCCTCCTTTCTGCCTTCCTTTTCTTTCTTTCTTTTTTTTTTTTCCCTTTTTATTTTTTCAAATCTCATGTTTTTAACCTAAGTATAGTTGATTTACAATGTTGTGTTGCCTTTTTTTTCTCTAGACATTCAACAAATATTTAGCAAGCAGTGATTCTAGATCAGGCATAGTGCTACGCAGTAGAGAAAACAGGTCCCAAAGAAAGCAGGGAAAACAAACAGGAATCAGATCATTGGACTTCCCCCATCGCCCTTCTATCCCAAACACACAGACAGGCTGTGTAAAATACTTCTCTTTGACACAACCAAGCTCTAGGCGAGACAGGGCCCGCTCCAGGTGCCAGAAATGAGGAGGAAACTCAAAGCTAAAACCAAGAGCTGAGAGAGGAAGCTGGGCAGGCCTGGGAGTTTAGGAAATAGATGGACAGGCCTCAGGTGAGTCCGGGCTCCCAGCCAAGGTGGTAGAGCCAGCAGACACCTACTTCAGAAGGTTCTCCGCTCCCGTTCTCATCCGCATGGCTTTCAGGATCTGCTGGTTCAAGGCAGCCCTCTGATTCTGCAGTTTGCTCCGGCCAGTCTGTGCGAGGGGATTGCAACCCTGAGGGAAAACAAGAGACGCCCCTTCAGAGGTCAGCCACTCTAAAAATGATGACAAACGTCTAATACAACAGAAAATGTTTTAAAAACTCATTTTTTCTGAAAGTAAAAGTAATATATTTTCCAACATGGAAAATATATAAAATACGAAAAATATAAAAAAAGTCAGTCCTAATAACACAATTCCAAAACAGCCACTGTGATTGGTTTCTTTCCTGCCCACCTATTTTACAATATATGCATATTGTTACTTTCCACATTAGTGGCTGAGTAGGGAGTTCCCCAGACCAGCCCCATGTCTGGAGCTTCACAGGACTCAGCACACAGTTGCACTCAACAGCTAAGATTTATGACAGCAGTTTAGTAAAGATACATAGCTGGATCATAGGGAAGAAGAGGTAGAGTCTGGAGGAATCCACGTGCAGGCTTCCTTATGCTGCCTCTGTCCTATGACGGGTCACACAAAGCACATTCTTCCCCCAGCAACAAAAATGCAGCAACATGCACGCAGTGTCACTGCCCAGGTTGGCCCATTAGAAAATCAAATTCACAGTTTTTATTAGGGGCTGATCACAAAGGCACCTTCTGCCTAGCACATACCAAAATTCCGGGCTGCCGAAAGGAAAGCAGGTGTTCATTGCAAACCACATGGTTTTCGCCATTAGTTTAGACACAGCGAGCCAACTTCATCACTTAGGGGATGAAAGGAACACTCCAAGAGCCAAGCTCCCAGAGACCAGGCAGGGGCCAACCTTGCAAGCAGGTCTTCCTAAGGAAAGCAGCCTCAGGTCTGCCATGTTAACCCTTTTCTGCACAGTGGCACACATAGGCTATCATGTTTTCTCACTTAATACTCTATCATGAAAATTTCCTGTTATGAAGTGCTCCTCAAAACCATGATTTTAATAATTGCATAATGTTGCCTTTTTTTAGGATTTACCATTTCCTTATGGTCAGACAGATTGTTTCCAAGTATCTGCTATTATCTATAATTATTTGGTGCATATTTGTAAACACGAATCTTTGTAAACCTCAAGTCTTTCCTTTAAGATATATTTCTAGGACTGAGTTACAGGGCGTCTAACCTCTTTAAGCCCCCTCCTCCCCCTAAGCACCAGCCCAATTATCCTCCAGCAAAGAAAGGTACTCTCTATTTCCTGTCCCTTCTCCCTGATAGCATTAGGCAACCATGAGTCTATTGATAATTTCTGTCTGTATAGACTTGCTTATTCTGGACATTTCACTTAAGTGGAATGATACAGAATACAGTCTTTCATGATGGGCTCCTTTCACTCGGCATAACGTTTTCAAGGTTCCTCCGTGGTGTAGAACATATCAGTACTTCACTCCTTTTTGTCCCTAACACTCCAATCAATATGAACATTCATTTATCCATTCATCAGTTGATGGACATTTGAGGGTGTTTTCACTTTTTGGCTCTTATGAATAGGGCTGCTTATTTGTGTGTAAGTTTTTATGTGGATGTATGTTTTCCTTTCTTCTCTTGGCTATAGATCTAGGAATGGAACTACTGTGTCATATGGTTAGTTCTATGTTTAACCATTTGAGGTCAAATTTCCCAAAGCGGCTAAAATATTTTACATTCCCACCAACACCAGACGAGGGTTCCAATTTACCCCTATCCTCATCAATACTTGTTACTGTCTTTATTAGAGCCAACCTAGGATGTGTGCTATCTCACTGTGGTTTTGATTTGCATTTCCCTTATGGTTAATGATGTTAAACATCTTTTCTTGTGCTTATTGGCCATTTATGTATCTTTGGAGAAAGATCAATTCAGATTCCTTGCCCAACTTTTTTTTTTTTTTTTTGCCACATCACAGGGCATGCGAGATCTTAGTTCCCCAATCAGGGATCGAACCCTCGCCCCTGAAGTGGAAGCGCAGAGTCTTAACCACTGGACCGCCAGGGAATTCCCTCCTTGCCCTTTTTTTTTTCTCTTTGTGGTACGCGGGCCTCTCACTGTCGTGGCCTCTCCCGCTGTGGATCACAGGCTCCGGACACGCAGGCTCAGCGGCCATGGCTCACGGGCCCAGCCGTTCCGTGGCATGTGGGATCTTCCCGGACCGGGGCGCGAACCCGTGTCCCCTGCGTCGGCAGGCAGACTCTCAACCACTGCGCCACCAGGGAAGTCCCCTCCTTGCCCATTTTTAAACTGGGTTATTTTTTACTGTTGAGTTTAAAGTATTATTTTCAATCTTTGCCAAATTGATATGCAAAAAACAGGTATCCCATGCTCCCAATTTGCAAGGATTATTAGTGAAGATAAATATTGTTTTTCATATATTATTGATCACTTGAATTGCTTTTTCAGTGAATTGTCTGTGTTCTCTATCCATTATTTCCTGGGGTATTTAGATTACAATCAGTGTTTCATTGTGAAAAGTTTAAAATCAGAAAAAGAGTTTCTTTTTTTTTTTTTTTTTTTTTTTTTTTAGCTGTGCAGCTTGCGGGAGCTTATTCCCCACCAGGGACTGAACCTGGGCCACCACAGCGAAAGCGCCAAGTCCTATAACCACTGGACCGCCAGGGAATTCCCATCCTTTTTTTTTTTTCTTCCAACTGTGTTAGTCTCTTTTTATTCTTTTGGTAATTTCTTCCAGAGTTAACTACTTCCATTTGTAGGTGATGAAATGTGTAAGAAATCCGCTTCAAATGTTGGCACTGCTATGAGCATGGTCTTTCCCTTTACTTCAACTGAATCACTGTTGATTCTTGTTTATATTCCAAGTCCCGGAAGTGGTTTTCACTGTGGAAGTTATCTGAAGATGGCCTTATGCTTTCTAGTAGTGGTCTACAACCAGGTTGTAGCTTCTCCAGGAAGGCTACACAGGATGGATTTAGATATTACATATTAAACTAAGAGGCATTCTCTCAATTGAGTTTAAACGCATTTTATTTTTAGACAACCTACATGACATTTTTTTTTTCTCAAAAACAATGCCTCCGCTCCAAACAAATCAACATCGAAACGAAGAGCTCAAGATGACATCAGTCCCATTTGTCTAAGTCCTGGTGTTGTGTGGATGGAAAGCAGCAGCCGGCTAGTTATGACGAGCAGGCGATAGATCCAAACAGCCAAATTTGTTGACATTTTTCCATTTCTAGACCATCCTTAAAAGAAAATCATATATGGGGTCACACCATCCTCACGGTAGTCCAGCAGAGCAGCCATGCTATCTGGATTCATGTTTTCACCAATAAAGAACTGATCGTTTTTGAAATTAGCAAGGATGTGCTTGATTTGTTCTGCAGTTCCTGTCATAAAAGGTTTTCCCCTTTCTGGTCTCTGTTCTTGAAGCTTCCCTTTGATTAACTTCATGTAATCTTTTTTTTTTGCAGTGCGCGGGCTTCTCACTGCTGTGGCCTCTCCCGCTGCAGAGCACAGGCTCCGGATGCGCAGGCCCAGCGGCCATGGCTCACGGACCCAGCCGCTCTGCGGCATGTGGGATCTTCCCAGACCGGGGCACGAACCCGCGTCCCCTACATCGGCAGGCGGTCTCCCAACCACTGCGCCACCAGGGAAGCCCTTAATGTAATCTTTGAAGTACTTCTTGTAGGCTTCTTTTGTGAAGCTGGTTTCCTGCAAGTGATGGTTCATGACAATAACCACACCAGTGATTACTGTGCAGTCGGTACCTTCGCCCTCGGGGCCTTCAGCGGAGGCAGTCATCAATGTTACCCTCTGTCCTACTGACCATATTCCCCTCCACCTCCAGACACAGCCCGTCCGCGACCTCACGGATCTTGTGGATGTCGGAGAACATTTCATCATGGCTGATGAGGTCCCGGTAGATGATCATGATGGAGGGAGACATCGGTGGCACTAGCTTAGTAAGAGCCCGGAGCTCAGAGGGAGCGTGGTGCAGCCGGAGCGGCGCTCGGCGGGGAAGGGGGAGCAGGTGGAAAAGCTTTTTTTTTTTTTTTTTAATAGTAGAATTGATTTACAATATTGTGTTAGTTTCAGGTGTACAGCAAAGTGATTCAAAAAATTTCCTTTTAGCCTAATAGTGTTTTTCACACCCCAGCAGGTAGAAGCCCAGGGATCTGAGGGAACGCTCCATTCCTTTCTGAAGCTTATCTTTCGGTTCCGCCCTGGCGGGCTTGTATCACACCCTGGGAGTGGCTGGTGGACAGTATTTGGTGAGGCGACTGCCCTTTCTCTCTGCGTCACTGCCTTGGTCACTGCCATCACAGCTCCACACATACCTAGCCTCCCACACCTCTGCCCAAGCCACATCCATGGCCTTGACCTCAAGGAAGAAGAAATGGGTTCTCTGCTGCCCCAACCTTCTCAGGCATTCCCATATCAGTGGCCTTTAGACTAGAGGGTCAGAAATAAGTTACATCTCTCCTTCCACAAAGATTTTTCACTCTCCTATCCCAGCAGGTGGCCACCCACCTGTCCCCCATGCAGCCGCCCAAATTCAAATTACACAGATATTCAGAATCTGAGCTGGAATAGTCTTAAAATTAACATCTTTCAAACCATTAAATGATCCCTGATTTAAAATAAAAATCAGAAAACTAATTCTCTCTTTTCAGATCTAAGATTAAAATGTCTTTAATATTAAGATAACTTAATAGTAAAGGGCTAAAATAATTGCCGGTCTCTTTCCTTTCCACGTCCTAAAATTACTATGAAGGCATGGCTCAATCTGACTTAAAATTACATGGCTCACCAAGGCTGTGTTCTATTTTACAGAGAAGCCTTAATAACTAATTCCTTTACATACATTCCCAGAGCTAAGATTACGCAGCCATTCCAGCTCACGGATAAGAACTTTTTCCTGCTCCCATACTTCACCCAACTTCTGGCTGGCCTGGAATCACTACACCCTAACCAGCCCACAGATGTAGGGTCAAGTTTCCAGATAAGACATAGGAATGCTTAGGATTAGATTTGACTGAGTAATTGGACCGCAAACTACATTACTTCTTACTGACAGGTAGGAATGCCAGACCTGTTGGAAACACCAGAAACGCCCGCAGGGCTGTTTGGAAACTTCCCAGAGCCCTGAGAGGTGAATCTGGGTGAGACTGTCCAAAAGACCCCCTGGCATCACCAGAGGCTGCTAGCTGTCCACTGGCCCCTGCCAGGGGTTCTCTGCTAGTGGGGACCCACAGTCCTCAGCCATATCTTAGTTCTTAATTGGTTCACAACAGGATGTAGAGCTGCTCCAAACTGAACTGAGGGTTTGTGCCTAGGACCGAGGCAGCTCCTGTCACGCCTGCCTGGCCTGGGAAGTGGGGAGGGATTAGGGGGAACAAATGAAAATGAACTGTCCTTGCCTCTAGGGTCACTGTCCACAAGTCTTACAGTGAAGTTGAGAGTCTGTCCACTACACAGAGTCTGTCAGTTACCTGACGAGCCTAAGGTTCGGGCATTGGCGTCAGTCTCAATATGTGGAAGGATGGTCCGACTGCCAACACCCAAGAATAGCAAGTACTGAGTAAAGCTCAGCTTCCTCACTAGCTTAGTGGGGTCTCCCACGTTGTCAGTCAGCCCACGTGGACTCTGGTATGGCATCTCGGAACCCACAGTTCTGAGGCTTGGAGGGTAAGTGAGCTACTCAAGATGCTAGAGGCAGTAAGGGTGGGAGGAGGACTTAAGCCCACGTCCTTCCTGCCACTCTGAGATGAGCCTGAGCAGCAGGAATGTGTGGGAATGCGGGGACAGCTCGCCCACCAACCCCCGGACACCCCTTACGTGCTTCCTGGCTGAGGGCTGCCCAGCTCAGTGCATATCTTTTGGCCACAGTGACCCACGTCCCACTCTCCCACCTCGCAGCCCATAGCGGTCAGGGGTTGTAAATCCATGCTCCCACACCTCCTTTCCAAGGGGAAGGACATCTGATTCATGCTTGGCTAGTTGTAAAACCAAAGGCCCCAGCCCTGAGTTTGATTCAGGGTGAGCACCTGACATAGGACAACAGAGCCCATCAGGAGGGGTCTTCATTTTTCCCCATCAGCCTTGAACCTAGGAGAATGTGAGACTGGGCAGCTGCAGCCACGTTACCACTGTGGGGGGAGTGTCTCCCCCAAATGAAGCCAACCTAGGGGGAGCAGAGCTGAGAAACTGAGTTTTGGTGGCAGCATTTGAGCCCTAGATCAAGGCAGGCCTGAAGCCATTCCTCTGGGCTTCTCAGTTACAGGAGCCAAATGCATTCCCTTTCTTGCCTGAGCCATTTTTTAAAAATTGAGGTATAATTTACACATAATGAAATACATAGCTTTTTAAGTACATAGTTCAACGAGTTTGGACAAATGTGTATACCTATGTAACCACTATTCCAATCAGAATATAGACCATTCTCATTACCCCCCAAGGCAACCAAGACTCTGATTTCTATCACCGTAGACTTTTGCCTGTTCTAGAATGTCATATAAATGGAATCATAGGGCATGTACGCTTTTGTGTCTGGCTTATTTTGCTCAGTAGTATGCTTTGAGATTCATCCATGTTGTTGTACTTATCAGTGGTTTGCTCCTTTTAATTGCTGAGTAGAATTCCATTGTAGGAATGTACCACGGTGTGTTTATCTGCCTAAACCATTGGGGATTCGATCTTCTGGTAACCACAACTAAGAAAGTCTTAAGTAGAGTAAGTTCACCCAGAGTGAAAACTATTTGTTAATATACACGCACATGCCTTTAGGGTATAGTTAAGTTGTTCAGCTGGGAAACAAGTATTTAAGAGCAGCACCTAGGCAAAAACCGGAGTCAGTGGATTTGGAAGAAAGGAAAGGCTACTTGACCTACAACATGCAGAGACTGACAGTGAAAAGGCAGACAGGCCAGGCCACTGGGAAGGCAGACACAGGGTAGGGAGCAGTCTTTCCTCCCCAGCAGGGGGTGGGGGGGGCCCTGCTCTAGGCAGTGCCTGGCGCTTGGCTCTCCTCCACCCCGAGAACCAGTGAGGGCCTTTCTTCTGCGCAGCCAAAGTTAAAGCCCACACATGTAGCTGTGTCTCCAGCAAATTGAGGGCACAGTGTGAACTTGAAGTCTCTAGGTCAGGAGTAAGACTGAGTGAGGGTGACCACGCAGGGTTCCCTGGCTCATGACCCTCACGCAGGGCATGGAAGAGTGGGGTGCTTTTTGCTGCCTCTCCAGCACAAAGATATTTTCTCTGCCTTCCTTCCTAGTCATGCAACCCCTCACTCAACCACCGAGCTCTGGAAAACAGAATTGTTTGTTTATGAGTTAGCCAGAAGCTGTCAACCAGAAAGCATAGAAATAGCATGCAATACCCTGCAATACACAAAAATACATCTAATTTAACTTTTCACCATGCTGGAGACTCAGGGCAGTTTGGATGAACAGAATCTACCTTTTCTGTGTCCGTAAAAATTAAAACATGAATTTGGCACTTGTAAAGAGGTCTCCTCCCCTTCCAGGATCTCTGCCAGGTGCCTCCCTCTGGCGTCCCCATCCATTCACATGGGGGTAGGGGGCCACATTATGAACAGACTCCCTTCAGTCACTTCTACAAATCTTTACAGACACCTACAGTGTGTGTACAAAGTGCGTGCCACTCTACAAAGATTTACAATCACCAAAATTTCTAAGAGACAAATGTATTTTCAGACCCAACTGATGACCTGTTTATTTCAACTGGTAGGATGTACTCACCACTAGTGTGCAGTCCTTGGTGGGGGGGAGATGGTATGTGTGTGTGATTTTGTACACTTCTGTTGTTACCCTTTTGGACAACAATTTATGTTACTTTTATAATACAATAATATTGGAGAAAAAGAAACTACTTCTGAAGTTGTAGTTTTGGATCACCTGCCTTTTTCTCCTCTTAGAATCCAATCGAAACAGGATTTTCTAAGGCATATGGCCCTAGTGAACTCCGTGGGTCTGACTAGCAAGGCCAGAAGGACCTGCATCTCTCCCTGTTTCTGGCGCTACGGGCAGGAGACCTTGCCCCCAGCTGGCACCCCTTGCTGCCAGCTCTGCCAGACACTCAGTCTGGCTGAGCTGCACCTGCGGTTCCGCTTTCCTCTGTGGCCACTTCCAATACAGCCTTTGTGTCACGAGACTCTAGTACCTGAGCCAAAGGAGGAAGTGGTCATCAGGCTAAAGCCAATGCCCTGTATCATCAGGTGGTGTCTTGGAATCCGTCCAAATAGCCCCAGGAAGCAAGGGACATTTACAGTGTTACAGCTCATCATGCTGACTCTCCTCTGAGTCACCTGAAAATTCTGTTCCTGCCAGGGGACCCCCTCCTGGCCAGGATCCCGCAATGTGAGGAGGAGTTTGTCCACCACGCCCTCTGGGCTGCTGGTGTGCACCAGTGCAGCTGGACAGACCCTCACCAAGGCCATGATCAGCCTGGATCCAGCCTGGCCTGTAGGGTCTGGCTCTGACCATGGTGGGGTAGCGGGTGGGGAAGAGGCAGCAGCACAAACTTTTACACCCTTCCTCCTCCCTCCCCCGCCCCCACCTGGAGAAACATCATCACTACCCAATAAAAACGGGGGCAGGGACTTCCCTGGTGGCGCAGTGCTTAAGAATCCGCCTGCCAATGCAGGGGACACGGGTTCGAGCCCTGCTCCGGGAAGATCCCACCCACATGCCACGGAACAACTAAGCCTGTGCGCCACAACTACTGCGCCTGTGCTCTAGAGCCCACGAGCCACAACTGCTGAGCCTGAGAGCCACAACTACTGAAGCCCGTGCACCTAGAGTCCGTGCTCCGCAACAGGAGAAGCCACCACGGGCTTCCCTGGTGGCGCAGTGGTTGGGAGTCTGCCTGCCGATGCAGGGGACGCGGGTTCGTGCCCCGATCCGGGAGGATTCCACATGCCACGGAGCGGCTGGGCCCATGAGCCGTGGCCACTGGGCCTACGCGTCCGGAGCCTGTGCTCCGCAACGG